TGGTGGATTTGGCATCCCGTGTACTGCCGGCAAGGCCGTGGACTTGTAACGCTCGTATTGCCCGTGGTGCCCACAGTTTCTCTGTGGGCAATTCAATTTCTTTTTACTCTTATTTTTTTTGCCCCCTAGGCCCCATTGTGGTTCAATGACCTGTTGCTGGGTGGCCTATTCCCCGTAAAAAAATACAAAATAAAAATAAAAAATAAATGCAACCACAGAATTCTGGAAGATTAGATTAGGTTATTCTTTGGTTGCTGTAATCTGCAATTTTACCTAAGTTTTCAGCCAGACAGCTGTCATAATACAGCATAATCACTGGGGGGGGGTTCAGTCCTCTTTTTTATACCTGAGCAGGACTGGTTTCCTCTTCTGGTCATAACATGTTCAAAGCTTCTGATCTCTCCCAGTTTGTACCAGAAAGTAGGTGGAGTTAATTTTATTTTATTTTTTTTTTTCATTGTTAGGTTTAGATTTTATTTAGCTACTTAGCTTCTCTGTAGTTTTGTTTTGTTTCTCTAGTTTTGCAACCTCAGTGCATGTGTGTGTATTTCTTACAGAAGTGGCATTGAGTCTCAACAACAATGAAGTGAATATATATGGCAGAGCTGCATCAGAGTGGAAGCTTCAGGAAACACTCCAGGGTCATGATCTGCGTGTCACAGGCATTGACTGGGCTCCCAGCACCAATCGCATTGTTACATGTGGAGCAGTAAGTTTACTGTGTATTTATTTAACCTTTTCATGTGGTTAAGGCATAAATAATTTAAGACTTTAACTTTATCTTTTTTGGTTCAGTTAGTTTTGTATTGTAGCATATACATTTTTTCACTCTATGGTTGTACTTAACAGATCTATCAACCACCCTTTTTACTTGGCAAGTGGAGTGGAACTTATAACAACCCTCACGAGCAGCTGATATTTTCTATGTTGTGTTATATAGTTCCTGGTAATAATGGGAAGCTATTCTTGGTGTGAAGGTTTGTACTGATTGTGTCACCTTAACCACTTGTGCACTGGGTCCACACTCTGCTGAATAAAATTGTCTGGCATTAGCCGAATAAAATATTAAAAGTGGTTTCCAAATACAGGGTAGTGAGGAGGTTAAAAAGGAAAAAAGCATTGTAGATGAATGCAAATGCTCGGTTCTTAATTTCCCGAAATAACTTGGCGCCATCGGCAAACATTTGTATGGAGGAGTGTGTGTGGTATGAGGAACTCCAGAGACAACCATTTTGTGATATAGAATATTATTGATATGGATATTTATTTTTGTAAGCTTCGAGGATGAAAACGTAAATATGTCTTGTGAATCCGCGCTAGAACGAATATGCATCCCAGCCGGGGGGGAGAGACGCCATGGCGTTGTTTACATCCCGGGGCCCAGTAGCAGGTATGTCCCACGTATTTCTTTGCTCTGTTAGAGTGTGTTTGATAGATTGAGCATAATAAATGTTATATGAAGAATGTGATGATCTCGTGGAGGTAGTTTGTAAGCCAGAATAAGGCTAATTCTAGCGTTGCTCTCCAGACATTCACCCTGGAGTGAGTCTACACCACGGGTTTATTATGTATTGTTTAATTCCTACTACTGTGTGGTACCCATATGACAACAGTTGATGCTTGTTTTGTAAGTATAATAACTAGTTATGTCTGATCTAGGTCCCAGCCTCTTCCTTCTCGGGTGATTTCTAGAGTAAATAATTGAGAGAAGACTACAAGTGTGTCCCATCCCTGAATTGGAAGTTCCCTGCTTTGTGCTTTGCTACACACGTATATATATATGTGTATATATATATATATATATATATATATATATATATATATATATATATATATATATATATATATATATATATATATATATATATATATATATATATATATATATATATATATTATATATATATATATATATATATATAATATATATATATATATATATATATATATATATATATATATATATTTATATATATATATATATATATATATATATATATATATATATATATATATATATATATATATATATATATATATATATATATAGTTATATATATATATATATATATATATATATATATATATATATATATATATATATATATATATATATATATACATTACGGCTATTATATTATTGCTAGCCTGCCCTTAACATAATGCTGGTGTTAGGTTTGGAGAGATACCCTGAATGTTAAAAAATCCGCGGTACTTTTGCCCCCTGAAAAACCCCTGGCCCCCCATGTCCTTATTTACCATATATACCTGTGTGTAGTTCGAGTTTTTAAGACCAAATTATTTGGCAAAAAATTGGAGGTCGACCTCTAAACGGGTAATAGTTTTTTTAGGTTGAAAAATATTTACCAGTAACTACCAGTAAACTATGGAAACGACGCACCACCAGCTGTGAGTGTCGGTACAGTTGCCAGAGCAGATCTCTTGCGTCATCATAGGAAGCCCAAAGTAGCCAAATGCATGGTATGGTATACACAGGACGATGTAAAACAAAGTATTCATTTTTTTAAAGTTTATTTATAGATACTGTACATCAATTTTTGTTCATTACATTTGAAACATCAATCTTTGTTAATTAAATTTGAAACAAGTATAGTAGTTTTGTTGAAACGTAATGTACAGTATTTAATATTAAAATGCAAAAAGAGCTATAAAATCAATTAATACTGTACACCCGTAATGTACTGGCTGGCATCTCCACTCGTCCCTGCTGCCGCCAGTCACCGCTCGTCCCCGCTCTATGCATCCGCCTCCTCCACATCGTCACTACTGTTGTATTACAATAATATTCTATCCTAATTCACTTGAATAAATACTACAATACCATATTTCTGAATATTTTCATTAAAATCCATCAAAATCATTTTCCTTGTCATCGTCTTAAGCACCAAACAGCTCTTCCCAGTCTTCTCCTTGAACAGGGCTAGAGGGTGCGTGTTTTTCAAATCGTTTTCAATTAAAAAAATGTTACAGCACATGTATATTTTACCTAAACTGCACCTGAATGAATATATTCTCAGAAAAATATAGTAGTTTTGCTGAAACGTGGTGTATTTCTATGTAAAATAGGATAAAATACAGGATGAAAACAAAAGACTTTACCTAACCTTCCGATGTTCAAGATATGTTACTCGTTTTTTTAATAGTTTTTGGTTTAAATACTGTTATATTACAATGATATTCTATTCATACTGTGCTTGATATACTACATTCACGGAAATGTAATATTTTTGTTGAAATGACGTCCGTATTACAGTGGAAAGTGGGATAAAATCGTGACGAAAACAATGACTTTCGCTTTCTTTCGTTCAAAAGATGTTACCGTAATCGCTTTTCGAATGGTTTTCAGTAAAAAAACTGTTGCATCACAAGTGAATTAGGATTGAATATTATTGTATTACAACAGTTTTTTAACGAAAACCATTCAAAAAGCGATTACGGTAACATCTTTTGAACGAAAGAAAGTGAAAGCATGCTTTCACTCGCTTTCTTTCGCTCAAAAGATGTTACCGTAATCGCTTTTCGAATGGTTTTCAGTTAAAAAACTGTTGTATTACAATAATATTCTATCCTAATTCACTTGTGATGCAACAGTTTTTTTAACTGAAAACCATTCGAAAAGCGATTACGGTATCATCTTTTGAACGAAAGAAAGCGAAAGTCATTGTTTTCGTCACGATTTTATCCCACTTTCCACTGTAATACGGACGTCATTTCAGCAAAAATATTACATTTCCGTGAATGTAGTATATCAAGCACAGTATGAATAGAATATCATTGTAATATAACAGTATTTAAACCAAAAACTATTAAAAAAACGAGTAACATATCTTGAACATCGGAAGGTTAGGTAAAGTCTTTTGTTTTCATCATGTATTTTATCCTATTTTACATTGAAATACACCACGTTTCAGCAAAACTACTATTTTTTTCTGAGAATATATTCATTCAGGTGCAGTTTAGGTAAAATATACATGTGCTGTAACATTTTTTTAATTGAAAACGATTTGAAAAACACGTACCCTCTAGCCCTGTTCAAGGAGAAGACTGGGAAGAGCTGTTTGGTGCTTAAGACGATGACAAGGAAAATGATTTTGATGGATTTTAATGAAAATATTCAGAAATATGGTATTGTAGTATTTATTCAAGTGAATTAGGATAGAATATTATTGTAATACAACAGTAGTGACGATGTGGAGGAGGCGGAGGCATAGAGCGGGGACGAGCGGTGACTGGCGGCAGCAGGGACGAGTGGAGATGCCAGCCAGTACATTACGGGTGTACAGTATTAATTGATTTTATAGCTCTTTTTGCATTTTAATATTAAATACTGTACATTACGTTTCAACAAAACTACTGTACTTGTTTCAAATTTAATTAACAAAGATTGATGTTTCAAATGTAATGAACAAAAATTGATGTACAGTATCTATAAATAAACTTTAAAAAATGAATACTTTGTTTTACATCGTCCTGTGTATACCATACCATGCATTTGGCTACTTTGGGCTTCCTATGATGATGCAAGAGATCTGCCCTGGCAACTGTACCGACACTCACAGCTGGTGGTGCGTCGTTTCCATAGTTTACTGGTAGTTATGGTAAATATTTTTCAACCTAAAGAAACTATTAGCCGTTTAGAGGTCGACCTCCAATTTTTTGCCAAATAATTTGGTCTTAAAAACTCGAACTACACACAGGTATATATGGTAAATAAGGACATGGGGGGCCAGGGGTTTTTCAGGGGGGGGGGGGCAAAAGTACACGGATTTTTAACATTCACGGGTATCTCTCAAACCTAACACCCGCGTATGTTAAGGGCCGACTGTATGTATGTATGTATGTATGTATGTATATATATATATATATATATATATATATATATATATATATATATATATATATATATATATATATATATATATATATATATATATATATATATATATATATATATATATATATATATATAGATATATACATGTGTAACAAAGCACAAAGCAGGGAACTTCCAATTCAGGGATGGGACACACTTGTAGTCTTCTCTCAATTATTTACTCTAGAAATCACCCGAGAAGGAAGAGGCTGGGACCTAGATCAGACATAACTAGTTATTATACTTACAAAACAAGCATCAACTGTTGTCATATGGGTACCACACAGTAGTAGGAATTAAACAATACATAATAAACCCAACACAGGGGGTGGTGTAGACTCACTCCAGGGTGAATGTCTGGAGAGCAACGCTAGAATTAGCCTTATTCTGGCTTACAAACTACCTCCACGAGATCATCACATTCTTCATATAACATTTATTATGCTCAATCTATCAAACACACTCTAACAGAGCAAAGAAATACGTGGGACATACCTGCTACTGGGCCCCGGGATGTAAACAATGCCATGGCGTCTCTCCCCCCCCGGCTGGGATGTATATTCGTTCTAGCGCGGATTCACAAGACAAAATTACGTTTTCCTCCTCGAGGCTTACAAAAATACATATCCATATCAATAATATTCTATATCACAAAATGGTTGTCTCTGGAGTTCCTCATACCACACACACTCCTCCATACAAATGTTTGCCGATGGCGCCAAGTTATTTCGGGAAATTAAGAACCGAGCATTTGCATTCATCTACAATGCTTTTTTCCTTTTTAACCTCCTCACTACCCTGTATTTGGAAACCACTTTTAATATTTTATTCGGCTAATGCCAGACAATTTTATTCAGCAGAGTGTGGACCCAGTGCACAAGTGGTTAAGGTGACACAATCAGTACAAACCTTCACACCAAGAATAGCTTCCCATTATTACCAGGAACTATATAACACAACATAGAAAATATCAGCTGCTCGTGAGGGTTGTTATAAGTTCCACTCCACTTGCTAAGTAAAAAGTGTGGTTGATAGATCTGTTAAGTACAACCATAGAGTGAAAAAATGTATATGTTACAATACAAAACTAACTGAACCAAAAAAGATAAAGTTAAAGTCTTAAATTATTTATGCCTTAACCACATGAAAAGGTTAAATAAATACACAGTAAACTTACTGCTCCACATGTAACAATGCGATTGGTGCTGGGAGCCCAGTCAATGCCTGTGACACGCAGATCATGACCCTGGAGTGTTTCCTGAAGCTTCCACTCTGATGCAGCTCTGCCATATATATTCACTTCATTGTTGTTGAGACTCAATGCCACTTCTGTAAGAAATACACACACATGCACTGAGGTTGCAAAACTAGAGAAACAAAACAAAACTACAGAGAAGCTAAGTAGCTAAATAAAATCTAAACCTAACAATGAAAAAAAAAATAAAATAAAATTAACTCCACCTACTTTCTGGTACAAACTGGGAGAGATCAGAAGCTTTGAACATGTTATGACCAGAAGAGGAAACCAGTCCTGCTCAGGTATAAAAAAGAGGACTGAACCCCCCCCCCAGTGATTATGCTGTATTATGACAGCTGTCTGGCTGAAAACTTAGGTAAAATTGCAGATTACAGCAACCAAAGAATAACCTAATCTAATCTTCCAGAATTCTGTGGTTGCATTTATTTTTTATTTTTATTTTTTATTTTTTTACGGGGAATAGGCCACCCAGCAACAGGTCATTGAACCACAATGGGGCCTAGGGGGCAAAAAAAATAAGAGTAAAAAGAAATTGAATTGCCCACAGAGAAACTGTGGGCACCACGGGCAATACGAGCGTTACAAGTCCACGGCCTTGCCGGCAGTACACGGGATGCCAAATCCACCAAACATTGGCCATTAAAGTACCTGTAAAAAAGAGAGTGAAGCAACATTGAAGCAAAGAGAAAGGGATGAAAGATTATCAATTAAAGGAGGAGAGTCAATAAGATGAAATGCCTTTGATTCCACCTTATCTAACAGTTGGACAGAAGAAGAGCCACCCTCGATATGAGCACAGTACTCCAAGTTAGGACAAATGAATCTCTTATAAACTGAAGCAACTGCTCAGGAGTAAAGTAGCTACGGCATCTGTACAGCATTCCCAGCTTTCGGAAGGCAGTTTTAGCAATGTTGTGGATGTGTGGCTTCCATGACATATTATAGGTAATGGTGAGACCTAACATATCTATTTTAGAACTTAGCAGAATGATTGCATCCTGAAATGTGATTGATGGGAGATCATCAAATATTACAAAAACTTCTTCTAGAAAAGTGATACCGATACAACTCAGTTTGAAAATTAGATGGCAATTTACCTGCCAGGCAAGTGCTATTTAACTTCATATAGGTCGGTACTCACGGCTGCGGTCCTCATTCCGGGCACGACAAGCGATGGGCACGAGGCCGAACCGGAACACTTCTGTCATGGCGTATCACTTGGAGCAGGTGTCTGTAACACTGTGTAAAATAAATGGTAAATTTTCACAAATGCACCGGTCTTTGTTCAGATATTAAAAATATGTTTTTTCAATGTTACTCGATGAGTTTCGAACAAATTTAATATTAATTTCAGCCGGAAATCAATAGTTCTTTGGGTAAATCACATAAATAAAAAACCAACAAACTAACAAAACCAAACCTAACCTTAACTAACCTAACACTATTTTTCCGACGAAAATCTGCAATTGACGTAAAACTCTCGCCCAATTATAAGTCTCCTATAGCCAATAAGAAACTCCCACACCACCCCCCACACATGCGCTGTAGATGCTTAAGAATCCAACACGGAGGTAAGGAGCACTGCGCGACGGGCGGTCAGACCTCCGTGAGACGTAAACAACAAATGACAACACTCGTGAATGACCAAATCTAATAATATTGAAAAATTAATATCTCGGTTATCCTTAATTTCCGGCGGAAATGTCACAAAAGAAAAATGTCTTAGATTGTCTAAACATTACGAAAAACATATTAATAACAGTGAGAGAAATACCAGTGCAAGATCGAAAATTCACTAAATAAATTATAAAACTTACACAAGTCATAAATAAAACTATATAAATATATCAGGTTTTAATAGGTTCTAGTAAATGTCACCTAGATTTTAAAATATATCATAATGGTAAGAACATATTGAAAAAATGAAAGAAATTGAACAACACCTGCTGGTTTTAGTCATCTCTTCAAAGAATACCTTTATACCCGTTAAATATAAGATTAACTTTAATTTCTTACCGTAAATAAAGTGGCAACCATCTGTATCCATTAACTAAAACAGTAACTACATGGATATTACAGTACAAATATAAATCTTTCACCAATTACATGACCAATGTATATAATTATTATCATAGATATACGAATTATTGGTTAAAGGCGATGAATCATTTACAGTAGGCGGGGCTGTCCCCTCACGTCTTCCGCCATAACTACGACCTACAATAACTTCTTTCATGCTATTAGGAAGTTAATTTGTTATATATTATCAAAATACATGGAACAAAAAAAAGAGTTCCTTCTACTTACCTAAATATTGAAGGATATTAGCAGACTCTGGTCAACATCCTCAAGTCCTGACCAAAACAGCTTGAGTCTCAACCTGTTGGCCTGACTTAAAGCACAAAGCAGGGAACTCCCAACTCAGGGATGGGACACACTTGTAGTCTTCTCTCAATTATTTACTCTAGAAATCACCCGAGAAGGAAGAGGCTGGGACCTAGATCAGACATAACTAGTTATTATACATACAAAACAAGCATCAACTGTTGTCATATGGGTACCACACAGTAGTAGGAATTAAACAATACATAATAAACCCAACACAGGGGGTGGTGTAGACTCACTCCAGGGTGAATGTCTGGAGAGCAACGCTAGAATTAGCCTTATTCTGGCTTACAAACTACCTCCACGAGATCATCACATTCTTCATATAACATTTATTATGCTCAATCTATCAAACACACTCTAACAGAGCAAAGAAATACGTGGGACATACCTGCTACTGGGCCCCGGGATGTAAACAACGCCATGGCGTCTCCCCCCCCCCATATTCGTTCTAGCGCGGATTCACAAGACATAATTACGTTTTCCTCCTCGAAGCTTACAAAAATACATATCCATATCAATAATATTCTATATCACAAAATGGTTGTCTCTGGAGTTCCTCATACCACACACACTCCTCCATACAAATGTTTGCCGATGGCGCCAAGTTATTTCGGGAAATTAAGAACCGAGCATTTGCATTCATCTACAATGCTTTTTTCCTTTTTAACCTCCTCACTACCCTGTATTTGGAAACCACTTTTAATATTTTATTCAGCTAATGCCAGACAATTTTATTCAGCAGAGTGTGGACCCAGTGCACAAGTGGTTACTTTTACTTTTTTTTTTACTTTTTCCTCTTCGCCACTGATCGGCTTGTTAGCCGCTTGGGCGATCGGTCACGTCTCTTTTCCTTTATATTCTTCACCAAAAGGTCGGCTCGCTAGCCGCCCGGGCGATCGGTCACGTCTCTGTCACGCACTGTTGGCAAATACTGGGCATGCACCGGCTCCTGAATGTACCTGAACCCGCTCCAGTGTTGGTCAAGTCTTCTCTTGAAAGAGCT